AACAATTCATATTCACATCAAAGGTAAAGACCGGATTCTTCAAAGATGAAATGAACTTCTGCAAAAACAAACAAAACTTGTTTCCTTTGGGAACAGTCACAAACACATGTTTCTTTCTTCTCAACTGCCACTCAATCACATTACAACATAGCAACCAAATAGAAGCTCTGTTCTGTTTGGGAGAAGGGTTGTTGATCACTATACAGTGGGGCTGCAATCTCTCCAGTTGCTGCCAAATAGCATCTTGACCCTTCCACGTGGAAAAGTTGTATCCTGCCTTGAAATCCATAGGAGATGCAACTTTAACACCATTCTTTGAAAGGAACCAAGATAATCCACTGTTTCCATGAAGTAACTCAACAACATCAGGATGATCATCATTACAGAAGAAAAAGGACTGTTCTCCGAATTCGGAATCAACATACAGTTCGTGATCTTCACGCAAGTTCTCCGGATTCTCATCGTCTAATGCCGGAATGGAAACATCATGCCACTCATCGTGATCACGTCTAACCTTCGACTGATTCACACGTACCACTGCCTTACCAGTGTTGGCTTGGACCATAGCTCCTTCTTGTCCAAGTACTGTGGCACGAACCCAACGTCCTTTATCCTTGAACTTTGATGAATCCTGAGTCCAAATAAAAACCTTCTCTCCTTGGAAATAAGGACCGTCACTTGGCATAGTCCTTCTCGCAAGATCTGCTCGAAGGTCCTGAGCTTGTCGTGCTTCTTGATGAGCTCTCAAAGCCACACGTTGTAGTTCCAAATTTGTACGATCTTGTGCGGCGGCATTAGCTGACAATTGCTCAGGGCTTGCGGTCTCAAGGTCAAAAAGATCTGGTGGACGTCTTCCAGTTGCTATCTCTATTGGTGAATATCCACTGATAGTCAACTGACAATTTCTTGCCCAAACTACCTTCTTGACCACTTCTCTGACCGTAACACCACGAAAACGTGGGTCATCCAGATCTACCTTCATAACATGCCACATACGTTTGAACAAACGTACAGCTGTCTCTGCTCGGTTCGGCCAAGGAGTTCTTGGCCCACAAGGACATTGTTGTATACCATGGAACCTGTAGTATTCAACAAAAGCATCTGTGAAAAAGGCTTCGTCTCCTACGATGGCCTTCGGAACACAATTGTTCTCATCAGACCATTGCCTCAATGCTTGGATGGTGGTTTGATCTATGAGGTCTTTCTGTGCCGTAGCCCAGAGAAGATTTGTGGCACCATCAAGAACAAGTAAGATGATATACTTGTTCTTGTGAAGTTCAACCTCACAATGATCAGCAAAAACAACATCACCAAAACATGAAGCTCTAATACCGGAGACTCTGGCTCGTGGCGGAGGTGCCACTGAAGTGTTACAAACACGGCAGTTCCTGACAACTGATTCATACTTCTCTAAAACAGAGTCAGGAAGCTTCAACATAGAAACACGTCTACGAAACTGAGTAGGACTCATATGGTAGTGCTTCACATGAAGCTTATAAAGCTCTACCTTGTCCTCCAGTCTCTGTAACATCTTCCTATATGCCGGTGTCATTGCAACAACTTCACTACCAGGTAATGGGATTGAAATCCGCCTAGGCTCAAGAGCGCCATCACCTGGTTCAAGTGGTTCATGTTTATCACTTGATGGTCCTTTTGATGCTTTAGGAATTTCTACAAGTTCACCTTCTGGCCTCTCAGGTGGTTCTGAGGGAGCATACTCCTCAAGATCATCACCCTTTAAATCATTCGGAGGCTCAGATGGTTTTGACTTGTGTCCTTTCCAAAATGGATCAAAACCCTTGGAAGTATACCGGAACTTTGGCGGCACGGGCTTTTCCGCGGCACTGGATGGTGCACCTTCCTTCTCTGACGAGAAGCCTGGTTCCCTGTCCTTTGCAATGGGAACCTTCTCTGAGGAGGAGCGCACCACTGCATCGGGATCACCAATGCCACGGTGCTCAATGCCAGCCTTCCTGATCTTTAGATCTGGAATTTTGGCATCTGGCTTAAATTTAAAAATTGTTCTACCACGCCATTCATAGCCAAGTTGTAGGTCCTTCCATTTTGCCTTGCGCCAATCATCTGTCTTCTTGATTTCTTCTCCTCCTTTCTTCTTCTTGATGATTGTCAGTCGCAAGTCTTCCAGCAAGTCAGTGTCTACAGGACAGGACTTAGTTGCTGGGAAAAGAATTTTCCTGTAATCCTTGTGGTGACGTATCAGTTCTCTCTTGTGAACATCTACTTCCCAGAAATCAACCACAGGATATGCATGCTCAGCTTCACCTTCATCACTATTGTGTTCAACAGAAATATGGCCATATTCATAGTGAGTGAGGTGAGAGTAAAAACTCTTCTCACGCTGAGTCTGCCAACGCACGTCAGACAGATACCATGCAATATCTTGGAAGTCCAACACAAGATGAGTACTGGCTGCAACCTTCAACTCCAAAAATTTGATACCAAGAGGCACCGATGTCAGATAAGCATGTTGAGGTGTCAGCCTGAGTTCAAAGCCTAAGTTCCTCATCTGTGGCAAGCTCATAAGCAAAGGGACTTCTCCTTCTTCCACTATGTCGAACTCTGTATGGTGGATCGTCCATGCACGATCATACATATAAATCACCAGCTTCTGAGAGCAAGTAGCCTTCTGGGAATTGGCAAAGTAAAACTTGCTCTTGGTAGCCTCAAAAGAGTACCATAATCCACAATCTGGATGATTGTCGACATAGTTGCAAAAATGGTCGACTGCTCGCCTTGATCCCATAGCTCTAGTGCATCCAATGTCCAGGATTGCAATAGTTGGCGGGAAGCGATTCTCAGTCAAAAATGAAATAGCCTGCATCTCCTTCACTTCTTCCTCAGCGCTCATAAGCGCAAAGCCATCAGGAGCCTTTGTGAGCATCTCCTTTGACAAAGAGTACCTCACAGGGGCACTCATGTCATCGAAGATCGTCTCACCATTGTTGACCACGCAGTCAGCTTCATCTTGGCATGAGGTCATCATGCCTGACAGCAAGTCCACCTCACTGTCATGGACTTCAGCTGCTGCTGTCACACAATGTACATAGAAACATTGTTGACCTCCTGATGCTTGTGAAGTTCTTGAAGGTGCAGGTAAAGAACGTGGCTGTTGTTGATTTGCATAGTTTGCATCTTGTTTGCCATCTCCTTTATCTTTTCCTTTTCCTTTCTTGCCTTTTCTCTTGCCTTTTCCTTTTCCTTTGTGGGAAAACCATGCTTCTTCAAGCTGTTGCCAAAAGTCATTGGCATCATCATATTCTCCTTGAAGATAGTCATTCATATCCTCGGCAAGAATGGCATCATATGCTCCTTGGTTTGACTCCCAAGTGTCCTCATAAGGATTCTCTTCAAGGTATTCATCTGGAAAAGTTGTCTGTTGCTCATCAGCAAAATGGCCTTTACCTCGTCTCTTTCCTTTTCCTTTTCCACGAGGTCTGAAGAATCTACGGCCTGATCTTCCTTTTCCTTTTCCTTTCCTTCTACCTTTTCCTTTGCCTTTTCTGGCTCTTCTTCCTTGGAATCTCCTTTGGAACCATGAGAAGTTTTGATCATCATATACCCAAAAGACATCGTCCAGGGCATCTAAAAATCCTTCAGTTCCATCTTCTTCATCTTCGGCCCAATAGCCAAATGTACCATCGAGTTCTCCTTCGTCTATTACGAGAAATGATCTTCTACCTCCAGCACCTGTCGGCTGCATCAATGGATTGTCTACTGAAGTCTTTGTCGTGCAGAACATCTCGATGAAAACTGTCCTCAGCTCTGTTGTAGTGTATTGCTGCAGGTACCTGCCACGATGAGTCATCAAAGAAGTCAAAGTGTTTCGCTGGTCCTGAGACAAATCTGCAAGTGACAGCATGAGTAAAGCAATCAGATTTTCTCCTAGAGGAAATTCGTTCTGATGAAGAATTCTCATATTGCCATTGACATTCTGCATGATTTCCTGAATCCTTTCTGCCGTTGGTGCTACTCCAGTCAACGCTGCATCTGCCTGCATCTGAGCAAGGACTTGGGGATGTGCTTGAGTGACTGGTTCTAACATGTCCATCCAACTGCTCATAAGCCTTTGGAGTAAAATCTGGAATCTTGTCATCCACTTCATCATGTCGGCTGATCCTCGATTGAATCGCACGAATTGCATAAACCTGTATAGGAATACATTGGTTGATCCTTTCACGAAATATGGTCGTAGTACTCGTTTGAAGTAATCTACTCCTGCTCCTGGTGGCTCATTAGCCTTCAATGAATCTCTGTCTAATACACGTTTGTATACTGCTGCTTCTCCTTCTAATCTGTTTCTCAAGGCTGGTCCTCTCTTCTCTTCTTCCAGCTCGGTGATATCACACCAATCGTCTATGGCATCCTCATAGGAAAACCATGAAGTCTTTCCATCATAAGATGGGGGCACCTTTGTAGTGACCTGTGTTGTCATAGCTATCGCTGCTGGTTCTCTTCTCACATGCCTATTCACATAGGCTGCTGGCTCATAAGCCACATCCGCATCAGGCTCTTCCCAGTCGTCAATCCAATCCATGGCCGTTTGCCCACAAGCAATTCTATGCCTAGGAAAGGAGCTCACCTGGGTCTTCCAGGATCACTGCTCCGCTACCACTGAAAGAGTGACTAGGGCGTACACGGTAGAGGTGCAGACCGCTAGTGTCTTTTATGCGCAGAGTCTTATCCTCTTGCTCTTTAGGTCCATTGACCCTCTCTTGAGCCTTGAAGCAGTCAAGCATGGACACACTATATCAGCTGTTGGAGTGGATCCCTGTACAGGTAGGCTCTACTTTTCAGGGGGGGAGGGGGGGGGGTTGATTAATCAAGAGTCAACATTATCAATTGGACGAGCCCAATCATGTACGATTTTGTTTCACCTTTGGAAGAGCTCATTCACCTTCATATAAGACCATTTCCTCATGGACTTACGAACCCTTGAGAAACATGATCGAAACCCTGACCGGGTCGAACAAACTGCCGTCCTCCGGGTAGTCCAAGGTGACCGCCACCAGCAAACCTCGACAGTTGGTAAGGAGGAAGGCCCCCTCTGCCTCATCAGTCTTGGCAGAGACAGGGGTGCTTAGTTATCCCTACAAGTAGGGCTGCAACCATATCTTAGAAGGTGGTTAGACCCCCCAAACCCACCTTAGAAGTTGGAGCCCTAGGGCCCTAGGGTAATAGGTACTTGAAAAGGGATCCCGAAAACCGGAGCGGCCAACAGGTGTCCATGTCCGAAGGAGAAGGAGCTCTCGTTTCGCACCCATATCTTCCAGTCTCATTTCCGCGTCGACCAATTGCGCGTCGATCCTGTCCAAACCACCCGGATATCAGTCCCATGATCTGGGTCCAAAGAAACCAAAAGAGACACCATCCTGGTCTTTGACTCCTATAGCCATCTATTTGCGTTGTCCTCAGTAGCGCTCCTGGAGGTTTCAAATCTTTTCATATCTTTTCTTGCCGCGTCAGAGAATGCGACAGCGACACCCTTTGCAGCACATCTCACAGTCCAGGGAGGAAAAGGGGAAGAAAAGCGTTTTTAGCGTTTTTTCAGTCCCAGGGAGTCCCTCTTGAGTGACTGAAAGAGTCCGTTTCCATCCGTTTCCGCTCTACAGACTCTACAGTGACTCTACAGTCGTTTTCTCTTTAAGCCGTGTCAGCGATCCATCAAATGGATCCATCAAATGGACCTTTTTTTTTTCAGTCGTCTGTCTGGAGAGGTACACGCGGCATGACAGTGACCAAATTGACACTCTATGACACCCTGTCTTCTTTTTTTAACTGTCAAGGTAACCCAAAACCGTCCGACGAGTGTATATGAGTGTATTAAGCTTAGGACCTTAGGACATCCTAGGACGCTACAGTCACTCATCTTTGGTCTTTGGGACGCTCAGGACGAGTGAGCTCCTTCAAAGGGCCCCACTCTCTCGTCGCATCTTCAGAAGATTGAGTTCCAAATGCATGACCCAAATGACCAATCAAAATGGTTCATCCACTTCTGTGGCAAACCCCTTATGGAACACCTCTGCTTCTTCCGCTTCTTTTCGAGATGAGGGTGACCGCCTTCCCGAGAATTCGGTGACCGCCTCCCACTCGACCAAAGGACCACGTTCATCGCAAGCATCTAGAAAGGCCGTGTGATCCTCCACTGAATCAAATGTATAGGCCTCAGGCATGGACCATGAGCATGCTGAGATTAAAAAGCAGTTAACACTTGCAGCATGGAAAATTGGAGCCCAACTCCATGATCACGCCTTCTCTTGAAGCCCAAAAACACAGGTCCTTTAACACACAAATCGAGCTTTGTTAGCCAAATTATGCCAAACTCATGGTGGTCCAACAAAAAATGATGGATCACATACCAGCACCTTCCAACAGGTCTCCGAAATGGAGGCTTTTGTAGACTCAAAAGTCGCAGGTGGTGACCTGTTGGAAGGTCCAGAGATTCATCACCAAATGGACTGTCAAGAACACTTGGACTCGCTGAAATTGAACTTGGCAACACAGCCCACATGCGAACCCAGCCCCGTGCCTCAAGAAGAAAGCATGCCAATTGGGTGGTTTCAATCTTACACCATTTGCTTGAATTGTCACCTGCTTGACACCACTTGCTTGGGTTCTTACACCACTTGCTTGGGTTCTTTTTGACATTGCCACCTTCGCCATCTTCACCCACCCGCTCCCAACTGCTTCACCGGTACTCGGATGGCGTTGAGGTTCATGGCCTTCCTCGACAAGCCACGGTCCCACGGTACAAGCCGGTCCGAGTACAACAGGATCGACCGAGGGGTCGATGCCGAACATCGTGCCAAAGACATCCATACAAAACGGCCCTCGGCCTTCGGCGATTTCAGCCCGAGTCTGAAAAGGGCGTGATCTTTTGCCCGAACCTTTAACAGGCTGTTTCTGTTGGGGGGGGAACTGGCGTTTTTGAAAAGGCTGTTTGAAAATCTATGTATACACCGGTGGTTCACCCGGAGGGGAGTCACTGCGGATGGGCCAAACACATTGCACAGATTCACACTCCGGGTAGACCGGAAAAAGTGGATATCATATATGTGTATAGCCTTAAGAGGCTCATATGTGTATATAGCCTCCAAAAGAAAGCCTCAAAGCTTTTTGAGAAAAAATTGTGCTTTTTCAAATATCTAATTCATATACTACATCTGCTTGTCCAGTTCACTTCCCTTAATGTGTATGCTCACAAGATCCCAAAAATACTTTTAGGGCTGGGGGTTCTCCTAAAGTCAAACACCTAAAGTCCGTTTCCCAAAGTTGTCCGCTGCTGCTCTTTCCCGAGCCTCTCGCCTGCTTCCCAGGCACAGCAAATTGTTAAATTATGACAGTATGTCATAGTAAAATCGTCTTTCACCAACCTTTCCCTTCCCTTGCGCCAGCCTTCATGGCTTGAAACATGACAGACATCGAAGCTCCGTCTCGGACAATTCTCAAGTACTGTAACTTTCAAGCTATGTTCCAAATGCCATCAACTCTCCTACTCTTCAGGAGCTGGTCTGCGCCGGCTCCCCGAGACCCGAGACCCGTCCCGGGACCTCTCGGTCCCAGGACGTCGTGCTCGTCCTCGCCAGCTCGTTGACTCCAAGTCTCATGAGCTCCAAATCCTGGGTCCAAATCGCTGCCTGTGAAGCGCCCAGGTAATCGCCGTAGTCCGAGCCCACCGGAATGGGGGTGTAGGCCACCTCCAGGTGAGGTGAGGTCTGCGCGGCCTATTTATCGTGTGTGTGGCCCATCGGAGTCGTCCTTCCTCTCCCAAGATCCGCGTTTTGATAGAACGAGAAGAGAGCAGAAGTGTAGTGGGTGCAGCCTTTGTTCCTTCACGTCGACTTGGAAGCTTTGCAAGTCAACCCCGCAGTAGATCTGTCAATCCTCACCAAATCTTCACCGAATCTTCCGGTGGCTTTGCATACCCACCATGCACACACACAAAAGAACAAACAGCAAGGAAAAAGGACGCGTCGAATTGATGGGCCACCGAGGAGCCCCTCGAGCAAAGAAGCGCTGTCCATCCACCAGGAGTTGCCTGGCGCGCAGCCATCAACCCGCTTGGGGCGGTTTTTCTTTGTTTTCTTTTCGTTTCGGGTGGGACACGTGGGACTGGGTGCCAGGAGGCTCCAGTCATACCGATCTCTAGAGAATCGGAGATCGGAGGAGAGCCGACGTCGAACTCAGATACGAACCTATAGGGGTCTGTCAGTCGGTGACGTACGCTTCGACGATGGCTGGGAGACCCGAGGGGCAGTTCTCGGGCCGCTACCAGTTCCGAAAGGGCCGCAGCGCTGCGGACGCAAAACAACATCAGGATTCTTGGAGGAAACTCCCGAGCTTCCTTGAGGGCAGGGGGTGGCTTCCTTGAAGAAACCTTCACACTATTTATCTGGTTCCTAGATGTTGGGAAGCTCCGGGAAGCTGAACCGAAGTCACTGGACTCTCAAAGGTTAAACATTCGGGCCAGTAAAAGAGCAGCACCAAGGCCTTGGACATGTAACCTGAACAAGAATATATATATATATAATTATATATACTTATATATATGTCTTTATGTTGTATCTTTGGACAATGACAAACGTATATAGCCGCAGATCAGGAACACATTAAGTCCTCAAAGAGGCAGGCCGATGAACAAGCAGTGCATTTTAGCTTATAAGCAAAGGATCAGTGACTGACCCAAACCGCTGGTGAACTTTAACAATCTTGAGCGGTGACCTCGGGCGGTGAAGAATGGTTGTTGCCTCAATTGACGTGATCACTTTTATGTTGTGTTTGTGTATTTGTTAATTAATCATATTACTTCTGTAGATAATATACATGTGCTTGGTTTGTCCGAGTGCCCCCAATGCCCATCCGACTGAACATCGCAAACCGGAGATCATCCAAGATGTTGTCCCCCCTCACTGACGAACCCACATCTGCAGGAAGCTAGGCCATCGCTACAAGGAGGCCATCGCTAGTAGCAAGAAGCTATAGTTACTATAGTCACAAATACGCTAAGCTGATTCCAGTGCCGACGTCGCTGGGTCGGCCGGTTCGTTCGGGGCACCGTGCTCGGTCGGGTCGGCCTGGAGGATCTCTCGATCGTCACTTGCACGGTTCCTGGGACGGGCGACCGGTGTACTGTGCGGACAGCTGGACACGTTGAATGGACAGCTGGACCATCTCTTCTAAGAGGTTCTCTACATGCGTTATGACATTGTCCAAGAGTCCTGAAGCGGAATCCTTCCAATATTGGTGTCCTTTCCAATATTGCCAATACCATCCAATACCCGTCTAATTAAGTCATCTTGGGGTTTTCTTGCTTGTCAATCAAACTAATGAAAGAGAAAAAGGATGTTCATCACATTCCGCTTGATAGGTAAGGGGCAAATCCTGTGGCTTTTCACCCTTAGCACATCTCCATCTCCACTTTGACCCAACCGTTTGAATGGCTCTTTGCACTGCCCAAATGAGACCGGTGATCATGGCGGGAAGTCCCTGCAGAAGTCCCTGCTCGTTGAAAAGGACCACTGACCGACATTTATTTAAAAATCACTTGAATCAAAAGACGTATTTGCAAGGGTAAGCAAGTGATTACAAACGTCTTGCGTACACAAGTGATACTGGCATTTTTGGGTCATCGTCCGACGTATATACTTCGAATGCTGTTTTTCGCGTTTTCCGACGTCCTTCTTTTGGACCCTCATGGACCATCGAAACACTCCCTCATGGACCCGCCAGTGAACCACTTTTTCGCGCCAAGGAACCCACGTGGTGGCAAAGCAGCAGCAGGCCGGCCAGTGGCGTGTAGCGCATGTGGATCTCTTTGCACACGCGCGCTGAGTAATCGGAGGAAGGAACCAAGGTCTTCAGATCACATCTACATTCATAAGCGAACGTGAGCTAGTGAATCCCAAGGTTCAGCTAGCACGAAGGAACCATGGTGATCGGTTCCGGTCTACATCCTCGGATCTGTAGGATTCCTGGTGATCTGTTGGTGTGCTTAGTAGCTCAACGAACTAGCCATAGTTGAAGGCTGATGATACAAATGTGTGACCTGTATGATTGGGAGGAGGTCATAGACTCAATAGACTCTGGCTCTTGGTTGCAGTCTTGCGGCAATGTTTCAACTGGCCACTCCATGTCAATGTAGTTATGTAGATGCTGTTGATGAGCAGAACTACCGTTCTGCCGCTATGGACGATCAATTTTCTACCATCGGCCGGTTGTTGCTTCCGGAACCAATATGGATATGTGTAGAGCTTGAGACGTTTGCGGTGTGGAGCGGCTTTCCGTGCGGAAGAAACATGGCACTCGAGCCCAGCCTACCAGCAATCCGGAGTTTAGAATCAATACTCATGCATTACATACTCCTTCTTTTCTTCAAACCAACAGCCACGAGTGACAAACGAAGGGCGGAATATGATCTGATATCAGGACTTCCTTGAAATGGGTTACCCCTGCAACATGGATTTATGTAATGTGTATATGTATGTGAGCATTTACATATTATTCATTATAATAAATAAATATACATGTTATATATAGTGATTGGATGTGGTAGGCAGCTAATCATACATCCAACTGCGCAGCAGTATTGCTATTACCATGTGTTCCTTCGCCACACGAGAGTTCCGGCCATGCTCAGGTTCCGGCCACCATTGCAATAGTGTGCACAAGACCATTTGTAGGCATTGCCATCTGTGACATCGATATAGCCTCTGCATGGGCTGACATCGAAAAATCTTCTGGCACAATGAGTATATACTTCGTTGAGGTGATCAGGATCTTTCATCAAAGGATGATCTCATCCTGAACAAACAAATCTGGCAAGTTCCCTTGTATTGTTGTTAGTTCAATTTGCTGTGGTGACAAAGCCGTCGGACTAATATGATGCAGGATGCCCTTCCAACTCGCTGGAAACACATTAGGTCGGTCGCAATCTCTGCAAAGGAAACCACCTTTCTGGGCCTGTATGATCCAACATGCTCCAACCAACGGCTACTGCGGCAATGACTAGGATCTCAAAGGTATACCACCATGTACCACCATAGAAAACCCAATCGCACTGGTGAGAGAAAGACAACTCCGTCCAGATCGCCGCTTTCTCTTCCTTCAGACTTCGTCAACAACTCCTGGCTGTGCCTCAGTTCTGAGCTTTCGATGTAGGACTCCTTCTCTCGATGTAGGGCTCGTCTGCTTGCCCCGAACACATGTCAAAAACAATGACAAGAGGTGACAAAAGGTGATGTGAAGAGCTGAGAACAGACGAACCAGTGATGTGAAGAGCTTACAGCTCGTCTGCATTGTTAGCGAACACCAGCGAAGCGAAACGCACGCGTGGTAAACCCGCGCCTGGCAAACATTCGGCCACAACGGTGTCCCTCCAGGTCTGCAGGCGGCGGCCCCTGATGGGCTGCGTGCGCCGTTTTGAGGAAGCAGTTTTTTGACACACCCATTTAAACACAGTGTAAATCTCCCTGCTTTCTAACAACACATGTGCAAATTGACAACACAATGTCACACTCGTTGTGCATGAACACAAAGCATAGTCAACCACCTGGCCATGGTAGTCATATGATGTCATACTGTATACCCCAAGATACCCCTGACCACGAGCACTTACCAGTTTGTTCTCCGTGATTTGGGCAAGGATTTCTGAAGGGTGTATGGCTTTAATGATCTTTTATGTTGGTTTACGTCTAGAACGAACGCAATTCAATCACAGGCCCTCCCTGGAATCCAGGACCAGCTGGCAGCCGAATCCTGCCCAACACGAGCCTCACCCCCCGCGAGGACAAGGCAGTTTGATTCTGGCCTTAGGACTCAAATTCATGGGAGATTAAAAGCATCCGTATCCGCTCCGTACAAACCCGACCCTCATGACCGTAGCAGGGGAACCTCTGACCCTGAAGGAAAACCCTGTCCTGGGCTTGCTGGGTCATTCTGAGCAAACGTCGGCCACATAGAATTCAGGAACGTGCCCCATACAGTTCAGGAACGTTTGCCGCTGGAGACAAAGGAAATGACTTTGGAATGACTCGGACTCACTGTCACTGAATCCATCCTGCGGTATCCAAGTGTTTGATGTTTTGTATGTAGGCGGGTGACTGGAGGGAGGTGAAAAGCCTAGACGGGTTCAGAATTCCGGTGCCCATCCTCAGAAAGATCATCAACATCCATCAACTATAGTGAGTCCTAGTTGTGGCTCCTGCTGCGAATCGGCAAATGGATAGCAGATCAACCGCACCGACAAGGACAGTCCACTCCTTTGAATCACTGAGTCTTGGCCCAACGGCCCAACAATACATGTATGCCATGTATACCTGGACCATCCAATGGGTGTCCAATGGAGATCTCCAAGTAGTCCATTGGTCACCCATTGGCACTGGATGGTCCTGGTACTTACATGGTTCTAAGATGTTTTGAGGGCCAACATACACCCTGGAAGACTAACATGGACCCTGAAAACCACTGGTTGGTAGAGAAAACACTCTTCCAGGGGGCCATTGTCAGGGTCTATGTTAGTTTTCGGGAGTGTAATGCAGTAACAAATATTCCATGCATTGCTGGGGTGAGAAGGCTCCCAAGAAAGCATGAAACGCTGGAAAGGCGAGTCCCATCATCGACTAACTCATAATCCGCCCAGCAGCTGTTTTCGCCGGAGATCGTTGGAATCATCCAACCTGAGGATATGACGGTGTCAACATGTTTCAACTCATGTTAAGTCCCGGCTTAACCATTGAAGTGGCACATCCAAGAGGGATGCCATGTCCACTGGAGTCCACTTCCATACTTTTGGGCGACTTACTTCATGTGAGTTCACGCATACCCAGGAACCCCCAGAAACGTCTTCGACGTGGACATGCTTTGTCCTTTCCAATGCCCAAAAACATGCTCCTGGCCAGGAGTGCCAGTTCCAATCCCAGCAAGTCCAAACGTTTTCGTGACCTTTGCCTCCTCCTTGGTGGATGCATCCCGATGTTTCATGCATCCCGATGGTACATCACTAGTCCGGAACATCTCTGCCCTGACATGATCTGCCACGTCGACCCTCCCAGCTGCAGTGAAGCTGCAGAATCCAATGAGACGATGTAGCAAAAGCATCATAGAATGATATTTGCAGCTTCCAAAGAGCCAAGGAAAAAAAGGAAACAGCGCGATATAGAGAGACCTCCCATGCATGCAAACCTTTTGACATTTGCTTAGTATGTTGCTTCAGTTGCTTCAGCTCAGTTCTGGAAGCTGAGAATAAAAATCGGAGGCGAGCTTCAGCACTTCTTCGAAGTGACTGGAAAGCCGCGTTCAAAATCAAATGGAAAACACAACGCAATGCTCGAAAAAATTCGATCCGAGCAGCTTCGGGGGATCCGCGCGAGCTTTCCACCGAAGGGAAGAAGCCTGCCTTTTCCACCGAAGGACCGTTTTCCACCGAACGACACGCCAGCTTTTTCCGAAACAAAAAGGGGTCCTGGAGGGTGAGGACACGTCCTTCAACCATCTTCAACCATGTTGGCCAACACCTCATGGCCAATTGGCAACACACTTCTCAGTCTGCAAAAACGTGATGATCGTCGATCCACTGCGAAAGGCTTTCCCCAGCCAACCCCCCTAATGTTTGAATTTTGAAGCTGCAGCCGTTGTTTCCGGGCTTGGAGTGACTGACAGAATCGAAGTACCATGAATAAGGAAAAACATCGCACACAACAAACACAAACATTGGTTTGGAGATGATACATCCTCTTCCAGAAGTCTATGTTTGACTTCTGTCCGTTTCTGTCATTCTTGTTCGTTCTTCTTTAATTCTTTAAGAATTCAGCACCCTACTCGCCCAAACCGGCTTCACGCGTTGCACGGAAAAGCAAAGCAAGCAAAGCACAGTGTTTCTCTCCGATACTTTTTCTCGGCTCGACCTCGCACTCCAGTCATCAGCCACAAGCCAAACCAGTCGCACCCGTTCCTTGAACATGCCATGCTGAATTGGCGCGCTGGGCCCAGAAATGGCCGGCAGGAACTTCGAAAACATCGTTTAGGATCGTCATAAAAGGTCATAAGTCATAAGCACTTTGTTATGCTTTGTTTAATCACCCATATGTCCTTTGTTTCAACTGAAAAAGTATAGTCTAGGTATCACCCTCACAATATTGTTCTTTGCACACGACCCGTTTCTACCCACTAGTATGCAGCTGGGATTCAACCCTCAATATCATCGTGTTTTAGCTCCATGACTACCATCACTCAACAGCACCTCAAACCCAAATAGAGTAACAGTTGATGAGGGTAGTTGTGTGTGTTTGCAAGTCTGTTTAGGCGGAGATTTACGAAACGTGTGTCCGCTTTATCACTGTATCTTTCTTTATGGGGTGTGCTTGATAAGCTCCAGTACCTCTCTATGTCCAACTATGAGTGTGCACTGTTTACTGCAGCTTGGAGCATGTCTGATTGGCCTTCCCAAAGCAGCTTGCCGGACCGCGGCCGGCGGCAATCAAAGTTTCACCGAAGATCGGTTGAGACGAAAGCCAATACATTATACTATACATCATTATCAATACATCGGCGACAGCCTTGGGATCCTCCCCTTCACATGCAGCGGAATGCCCATGTCTTCACCCAGCTATCAAGTTGTTGTTGGTGCTGATTTTGCAAAACACCTTTACCTCAGTTATCCGCGGTTTGGCCTTTCCAAACACTCTTAAACATTCACAACTCCTTCGCTGAATTTAACACAAACATGCTGACATGTTAAATCGTCTGTTAATAACTTATTCACACCTCCCCATTCCTGCACCTGTTCCTTTAATTTGATTGGACCTTTCTGAAACCATTCTCTTGTGCTTACACCGACAGTGTAAGGATCTTGATCAACAAAATCAATGGATAATACAGATCACCAGGTTACTGAAGGCTCCCATCAAATGAAACCTAACACTGTATGGACAA